TTGCCACATTTAATGTAAATTATTATAAAGAAAACTTACCATTGTTTTCTTTCTTGCTCCTTCACGTTTATTAATATTTTTATCATCATTCATAAGCATTTAAGGTGTGAGCACGCTGTAGATGTCGGATTGTAATCAGGATTCGTTTTTCTTTCATTATAGATACTGAAAGTCCTGTTGTAAATTGCCCAACACGCGTTAACAGTTACAATTTTGTTGTACGAACATCTCACTCCTCTTGGACGGTGTTTTCAGATACTGACTCCACACCTGTTCAATTATACTGGTCACCAGCAAGCGCCACCGATAACAGTGGTACTATAGTATCTGTTTCTTCAAATTACCACCCTGGTGACGTATTTCCGGTCAGTAATGTTGCCTATCAGATCACATACACCGCAACTGATGACGCTGGCAATGTGGGAAATTGTTCAATCTTTATAACGGTTGAAGGTTTGGAAATATTATGTTTTAGACTACTAAAGCCCTGTCACACTATCACATTTTATTTGACAAAAACACTGTTGTATGCCCATATAATCATAACGTTGCCTATATATTGTCATGATTGACATATTTATTTTCTCCACATTATAAGCTTTAAAATGAAGGTCTTTAACGGAATCCACTTACTATTGCTAAACTCATGAGTAAACGTATTCTCCTGCCTGTCTGTACTAAGGTATATAATAAAATACTGCCACATTATGCTAATTATCATTTAGCGACAACTCGTTTAGGTATGTCACAGTCATGTTTTGTTCTTTCTTTGACAACAAACTGTTGTATGCCCATATAGTTATGATGTGCCTTGGAGAGCCACTAGACTGCAGTGATTCAGTTCAGTCCTTTTAGTTATATTGTGTTTGTCATTTTGAATGTTCTTTGGACCAAATAAATGAAATAAAATGAAATATGTGGTCATTATGTAATGTCATCATAAACATTTTTAAGTATGTCAAAAATTTGATAGTCTTAACTTGGCTTTAAAGAAAGGTTTGAAACTGACAAGAAAGGTTGTTTGATAGTTATTATGTGCCTAAATAAATTAAATGAAATTTTTAAAAAAAGAACAATTTTTTTCATAATTTGAATTTGCTTAATATAGTGTAAACTGTTTATTATAAAATTAGATATTTATATGGGAAATAGAGTACCTTTACATTGAATCATGAAATTGGTCGGTTCCAAATACTTACATGATGTTTATGCTTTTGCATTTTGAAGTAAATGTAACCTTGCAGGTCGGTAAACTTGACATGTAAAATTCTTTATGAGTGGCTTTTTCTGCGTTAATGATGATGACTCTCAATATTACCTTGGCTAATACCATTGCAGCCATAGTTCTAGACTCAATGACGTCGAGTCAGTATTCATATTTATTTTCTTTAGTATGATTCTAGTTTTGTTTGTTGTTTACTTTATATTTTTAATGATTGTTTAAAACGTTTTGGCAGTTCTAACATCAATTCTCATTATGACAATGAGAAAAAGCCCTATGTTCAGTTTTACAAACAGACGTTGTATAAAGTCTCCGTTGTTGTTCTGATTTTGGTTCTTCTATACCATTTTCTTATGTTTATGCACAAAGGCTTTCTGGTGGGCACTTTGTTCACTTTCCGTATTTGGGTCTTCTTCAAACTCTGTTCCAATCTAAGACCATATATCATTAAGACTATATCATGTCGTTAAAGGTTGTCCTTTTTTTCAATGTAATAACAGTGTATTGCAATATCAGAAGTGCGAAATTTATATTTCTTTATCAGTAATACTTCCTAAAAAATGTAGCATTCATCCTTTAACTTATTTTCTTGTATTTTTCCATATGTTCCCAAAAGTAAATGTCAGTACTCCTATTTCGAGTAAAACTTTAAACCATTTTTCTCATTGTAATTACAGATGACCGTGACAGTGGCAGCAGTGTTAACAGTGGTAATTATAATGTAATGATTATTATGTATATGGTAAAGGAATGCCGAAGGGTCCACTGATTAATCTCAGATAATATAGTATATGATACATACTCCAAGTATCGAAATGTACGCAATCGTGTCGGGATTCAATATTTCGACATTAATTATGTCATCATCATTCCTGATTATGACATAATTAATGTCGAAATATTGAATCCCGCCACGATGGCGTGCGTAAAGGAATGCATTGACAAAAAATGTGAGTTTAAAATATTAAATCGCTTTCATTATTATAGTTGCATTTCGTTTTCCAGAAAGAGTATGTAATTCGAGAGAATTTCAGTGCGAAAATCAGGATTGCATTCCAATTTCATTGCAATGTGATGGTAATACGGATTGCTCAGACGAGTCTGATGAAAAGGTTGAAATATGCCGTAAGTATTACCTCAAGATGTCTTGATTTAAAGACCTTTCGTATCTACGGTAGGTGGGATCGCATCTGTCTAAACAAAAACTTATGCCCATCACGCTCCCCCTATCTATTATTATTTTGGTGACCAACATAAATTATAAGCTCATGAAATTAAAAACCATCACATATTTATTGCGCCCGCTGACGCCCCTTCACTTAAACTCTCCCTCACTTCGAAGAATTAGGGAACAGTTACGGTAGTGTTTGTCCTAGTATACACGATCTGCAACTAGCTTTGCTGTCCACCAACGTTTCTTTAATGTGCCAACAGGATATTCATTCTGTGTAACGTTATTTATTGGTATTAGAACCAGATCTTGAATTACCAGAATTTGTTGGATGTCCAAACGACATAACTGTTAATACAGACCCGGGAACAAATTACAAGCAAGTCAGTTGGAGGCATCCGGAAGCATACGATAATAGAGGAATCAAGTATAGGGGAGCATCGCATTGGCCAGATTGGAACTATTACCTCGTCGACGGAAATTCCACGGTCTATACGGTACGGTACTGGGCAGACGATTATTCGGGAAACACGGGTGAATGTGTCTTCACAATAACTGTTATTGGTAGGTTTATTTGTGCTCCTTTTGGTGTAGGCAATACGACATTAAATATTTGTTATATTAATTTACGATTTATGGCATACGGTACCTATTCTTTATAGAATATATTGGGCCAAAGCATTGCAAGACAGACAACCGATATTATTATTTAAAATTTAAATAAAACAATTTAATTCGTTAACAATTTTTTTATTCACAAATTCGATAACGTATGCAATTTTGCCATCTTTTAATTGTAGATAACGAGCCACCAAAACAAGTGTGTCCAAAGAATATATCTAACTTCTATAAGATGGAAAACGGTGTTATTCTGATCTCCACTGAAGAAGGAAGCCCGAATGCCACGATCACATGGGCAGAGGATGCTACTGATAACAGCGGAATGCCGCATGTCACAAGTTTTCCGTACAAATCTGGTGACGTATTTCCAATAAGAAGTTTTCCTCCATACGAAACTACAGTAAGAGCAACAGACCCAACCGGTAATACAGATGATTGTATTCTACAGTTTGCTGTTATTGGTAGGTATTACACACACACATTTAGGCATTTGCTTTTAGGCCCCGTCTTTGGTATGTAATGTTATGCAGATTGCTTATTGCTTATATACGAGTACTCATATTTAATCGTCATAATCTATTCTGTCGTCCGAGATTGAACTTGATCGTATCTACATATTTTCTAGAATTAGTTCAACGGTGTTTAGTATTTCATTTCTAATTGTCTTCTTAATTACCTTTCTTAATGCTTATTTAAAATACCGCATCATTATATATTAATTTGTGTAAGGACCAAAGGTTTGTGACTACTTACCGTCCTGGCGAGTGCACAGATCTAGAAGAAATGTATTCCAGCACCATTCTGTTAGGGTCTTACCATTATTGGTGGTTTTTTTTTTTGTTCCTCTTTATGTTCATAAAAATATCGTAAAAAAGTATTTCTAACTAACACTAAAATATTGGACGAGGACTTGCCATGCCACAAAAGCAACACATGTGAGAATTTCATTATCCTAAAGTACTTTAACGATGTACGGTGGAAGGAGCGGAGAAAAATGTGAGTGGAACGTACCACTTCAGTGAATGCAGCTGATACAACGACGTATGTTCACTAAATATTATAGAATAATTCATATTATTAAGTATATTAATCATTGAAATTAGTCAATACATGACTATAAGGAATATCTACATTTATCACAACATTTTGCCATGGTTTTTCCTTATTCTTTGTCAGCATAAAAATTATTGGCTGACAGTTCTTTCATTTACAAATGTCTTTCTAAAACGTAGTTATAAAGACGTGAAGACGCGGTAATAATCATTATGCTTTAGAATGTATATATGTGGCAATACTTGCAGTATTTGGCCAACTTGGCTTCTCATACTAATTATCTAAACGTTATGATACTCTTGAGGAGGATCCTGAGAGGTTGATTGTCGGCGACGTCCGGACCTCCACCTAAAATGAGAGTGTTTTTGTTAGCTGTCTCTTAAAATTGTTCAAAATATGGGAGGGTGATAAATACAAAAAACTTTTCCCATCATCACTAAAATGTATGTCATTTATACAGGATTGATCATCATTCATACATGCGTTTATGTTGTCGATTCTTTTTTTCTTTATCCATAGACACTGAAAGTCCGGTTGTGACTTGCCCAACACAATCGAACAACGTTGTTTCAAGAGAATCTAACTCTTCTTGGACAGTGTTTTCCAAAGGCTCCATACATGTACCTGTTCAATTGTATTGGTCTCCAGCAAATGCCACTGACAACAGTGGCACTGCAGTAAATGTTTCTTCAAATTACAGGCCTGGTGACGGATTTCCGGTCAGTAATGTACCTCATCAGATTACGTACACTGCAGTTGATGAAGCTGGCAATGTGGGAAATTGCTCATTCTTTATAAAAGTTAAAGGTTTGAAACTCAAATAAAATTTCATGAAATTGTTGAAAATGACAAGCATTTTCCATAATTTGAATGTGCGTAATATAATATATACCTCATGTGTTGAAAATCAGATATATATTGGGGCGATAGCGTACCGGTACGTATCTTATAATTGGTCGGTTACACAATTATGCAAAGCACATTAAAGTAAGTGTAACCTTGACAAGTTGGTAAATTGCGACGTGTAAAAATTCCATATTATTGCCTTTTTCTGCGTTAATGGTAAGAACACTCAACATCAACCCCGTTATTAACATTGCAGCCTTATTTTAGTCACACTGGCGTTGGTTTGGTGATTTTTTTTTTTACTTCATAATTTTTCTTTAGTATGATTTAATTTTTTCAATGTATTTTTTACTTTACATTTCTATTAATGATTGTTTACGTTTTAGTAATTTCAACATTACTTCTCATTATGGCAGTGAGGAATTTACAAATAGACACAGTAAATGTAGTTGTTGGCAGAAAAAGCCTTTGAATTTTATTTAATATGTTTTCCTTCTTCTATCTCGTCTTCCTTATGTTCCTGTACAGGGAATTTTCTGCCCAACACTTTGGTCACTATCCGTGCTTGAAAGATCTTCAAACTTTGTCAAAGGAAAGACCATATATCAAAGATGTGGATATTCCATGTTGACTGGTTCTATGGCGCATTGCTTAGAACTTTACACATCACCTTCGTTTTTTACCATTGAGCCCTTCGGGTCTCACTGACGTCGAGTTGGTTTTCATGTATTTTTCTCTTCTTTTACTTTGAAATAATTCCAACAACATAGCAGTTCATATTAAGGTATTCTTATTATTGTTATTATAATTTATTTAGGTTTTTATATTTTAATACTGTATTTTTTTTTCAAAATAGCTCGTATCTACCATGGCTGTTTTGACGATATCACCTGGACTTCAGCTGTCCCAAAATACGAAAATTTGACAATAGATTGGTGTACACAGCATTGTTACGACTTAAGCTATCCGTACGCTGGATTGCAGGGTGGTGTTTTTTGTCAGTGTATGGGTATATATTTAGAGTTTTATCGAAGACCAGAACATGAATGCAATACGGTTTGTAGTGGTAAGCCGCAAGAAATATGTGGTGGTGCTTGGCGAAAGTCCATCTATTACACAGGTAGGTCAATCATTATCATTGTCATGAAGTCATTTTGAGCCTTGACGACTTTTGTTCCATGAATAATCATTACAATTAATGTTTGTGCGTACAGCTGTTATCAATCGATCTTAATCTACAAGATCTTAATCTACTTTGAAAGTAGTTGAAATAAAGACAGTGCATGGTAGTCCTAATCGCAAATAGATAAAATACATTATTATCTAATCAAATGTATATATACTCTCGTCACCTTTAATTCAACCTTCATACAATTATATTTAACCACAAATTTATAAAATTGGTTAGCCTATAACATACCGTATAATAATGGTCGAGTATACCAAGTCGGATAAATTACGCTGCAGATTTCGAAACATAATTAAATTGATCGTAATAAAAACAAACTTTAATCTTAAATATGCGTATACATAACAATGAGGAAATAAATATTTTTACTTTCCATACAAAACGGTGTGTTTTAAGCAAGTATTTGCTGAGAAAATGCGGGGTTTTATTCTGCATTGCCCTAGCTCTAGTTAACTGGATATCTCAAACTGCTGTCTATTCATTTCCATTAGTCGAATTGTGTTAAATCAGGCCAGTATCTCTAAAAAATGGGTGTTCTGACGAGACCTCTTATCCAATCAAATTGATTTTTTTGCTTAAACAGCAGCTTGGTAATTCTATTTTTACTTAAACAGTAGTTACAATCGGCCCATTTGATGAGAAATGAGAGTGAGTTTTGTAAACATGATCGCAAAATGGAGATATGAGCTTAATACAAGGCCAGAAACATCCAATATCAACGAAGATACCTGATTTTATGCAATTTCGCACCGCTTGGCGAATTCGGGCCAGAAAATTAATTGCAATGATTGTTTATAATTTCATCAAAAATTTATAAAAAATATTTTGTATATTTGATTTGATTATGTTTATGAGAAATTAATAAATGCTGCATTATATAAAGTTTACTAAATTGAATGGCTTTTATACAGAAGTTAGATTGTATTTTCCAGAAAGAGTATGTAATTCGATAGAATTCCAGTGCGATAATCAGGAGTGCATTCCAATTTCATTGCAATGTGATGGTAATGCCGATTGCTCGGATGGGTCTGATGAAACATTTGAAATATGCCGTAAGTATTACCTCAACTTGAATTGCCTTGATAAAACACTGAAGTAGTGGCGTGTCTAAGGTAGGTAATGGAAGCGCATCCTCAGGCTACCCCTCCCACTTTCTTAAAAAACATATGCTCAAGTAATTAAAAATCACCACATATAATCTATTTTACCAGCTATAACTTCCCCTTAATTAATCATATCGATCCCCTTCCAATGAACGCACACCCTCATCAGTCTTCTCCAATGTCAATTAATAGATATGAAACGCTTTGTTAACGAGATGTATCAGATTTAGCCTAAATAATAATAATAATAATAATAATAATAATAATAATAATAATAATAACAATAATAATAATAATAATGTGATTCATATAGCGACTTTCCAAAATGATCATGGACCTTCACAAGGACAATATCAGTTAATACAGTATGATTTTACAATAATAATTGTTGTAATTTCCAATAGGAATACAATAAGTAACTAAAATTGAACCGCTATAAAAATACAATAAGATATATTTTTGCGATCTAATTATCATAATACCAATTAAAAAACGAAATTAAGGATTTATTTCTGGCCGGGTGTGAGTCCTAATGGAGGTTCTGGCTGGGTGTGAGTCCTAATGGAGTTTTTTTTTGTTTTTTTTAAATATATGGATGCCTTAAACAGACTTTTTTCATCTTCTGCAGTAAAAAAACCTTGTAGGGGTAATCAGTTCGACTGTGGGAAAGGCAGAATTTGCATTCCATTAAATTGGTATTGTAATGGGAACAACGACTGTGAAGATGGTCTCGATGAAGCTACTTGTGGTAAGATTTGTGTTCTATATTTATTACAAGAAACTTAAATTTAATTATTATAATTATGATATCATATCATTCTATCTTCATCATTCAAGTTATTCATAGTTAGACACCACGCGTTATACTGCCATTGCTGGGGAGACATGGAGTCTCATTAGGTACCAATAAATCTTTTTTTTTTTAATTTTTTTTTTTGCATTTCTATTCTGTATTTCAATTTTATCTCGATTGTTGGCCAGTTAGTTGTGTGTGGTTTTATATACAAATATGTTTTTTAAGGTTGTTTTTCACTTGTAGTAATTAGTTTTGGTCAAAAATGGGTGAACGTCAACAGCTGGCTGCAAGTTAAAATGACTGATAAAATTGGATAATTAGATCATTGTATTCACCTTTGTAAGGCAGACATGATCTTTAAATTTACTCGCATTCCGCATTAGCGTTGTTGGTTGCAAACTAGTGGTTTAGTCGCGTGCAAACAGATGCTAATTTAAATTTTATTTTAATTAATATTAGATTCTCCACAACTTAACGGATGTCCAGACGACTTTACTGTTGGTACAAGTCAAGGAAGAAATTACACAGAAGTCTGGTGGACAGAACCAAGCCTGTCCAGTAATACAAGTATTAGGATAAGGGAACAATCAAACTCGCCAGGAGATAGATTTGAAATCAAAGATGGAAAATCCACAGTACATACTGTGCGATACTGGGTACAAGATGTATACCGTAGCGAAGCGCAATGTCTCTTCAATATAACTGTCTTTCGTAAGGGTTTTTATTTTTCCTACTTTTTTTCTATTTCAGATTAGATTAAAGATATGATTAAAAAGCAAATTACTGAAAAACAACAATGTTGTGTGAAACAAAGGCTGGACCTTGGTAGAGATACAAATTTGTTAAACAGCTAAAAATAAATTTAAGTAAACAGCCAGAAATAGAACCAGAGCTTTCGAACAACACTAGTCCTTCCTTAGTGGCGAGGGAGTGAGGGTAGAAAAAGTTACATAGTATAAATCAGGGAACAGAAAAGGTTAGGTAAGATAGTGTAGTTAGAATAAATAAACAGCGTGAACAAAGAGTGAGCAAGAAGGCCTCTACAAATAAGTCAAATGATTTATACAGATAAATTTGAAATATCATTATATACATATACATATATATACACATATATATACATATATATATACATATATATACATACAGTATATATATACATATATATATGCATATACATACATACGAATAAAGGAATATATATATATATGTATATATATATATATGTATATATATATATATATATATATGTACGTATATGTATATGTGTGTATATGTATATGTATATAATAATGTATGTGTATATAATAATGTATATGTATATATATGTCTATGTATATATATATATATATATATATATGATAAGTAACAGCTTATAATAGATTAGAAGAACAGCCAGAATTATATTAGCATCGAGTTATTTTCAAATTAAATTTTCATTTTAAAACTTAACTGAAGTTAATTTTTTTTATGTATATATGTTTGTTTTTTTGTTGTTTTTTTTATGTTTTTTTTTTTTTTATTGTTATTATTTTCTAATTATATCCTAGGAAAACCTTATGTCTAAGATATATTTTATTGTTGTGTTTCTGTTATTTCAGCCCGAACCTACTTAGGTTGCTTTCAAGATACCAGCTGGACTGAAGCTGTTCCACGTCACGATGATTTGACGATAGATTGGTGTATACAACATTGCTACGATTTACACTATGCTTACGCCGGATTACAGTACGGTGTTTATTGTCGATGTATGGATGAATACACAACCGGCAGTCCATATTACAAAAGACCCGAAACTGAATGTAATAAGGATTGTGGCGGTAACGCAAAAGAAATATGTGGAGGTAATTGGCGGAAATCTGTCTATACCACAGGTAGGTTAATTAAAATCTTTCTCATGAATTCTAAGTTTACTGAGCTTATATGATACTAATGCTCATTGTGACCATGAACATACAAGGCATATCAAACATTAGTGAAGTTTCGATTTTCCCGACGACGTAGGGCCCGTTCGTGCAAAAAAAACGCCAACCGTATTCCGTTTATTTCACCGGGTAATCGCGCTGAGCACTCAGCGGGTGGTCGATCGTTCGAGCAAGTTTTAGCTCACGGTAAATACGTGTAACGAAATTACTCCGGAAGTAAATTTCAACTGAACTCATTACTTGCTACTGCTGCTATAATCAAGGAGGTCCTCCTTGCTATAACCGTCCCACGTACACACAGCGCGGCACGGCGGAACGATAATGTAGCCCAATGGCTGCTTTAAAATCTTTACGGAGGCTAGTTTATTTTCAAGTTTATTTCTCCGAATAATGGTAAATCTACCAATCGATCGCGTAGCTATGCTACTAAATTTAGATTTCGTCGTGTATGTGTAAGGAGGCGAAGGAGAGCTGCAACCACGTATGGTCTGTAATCTCCGTGTACGACCGGCACAACGCAGATTCGGGCCAAATTGCGTCCTAGAATTCAGGCTACCACGAGAACTCAACGTTTTCGTCGCATTAACCATCATAAATTAGAGTGCAAATTAGGCGACTGAACAATGCAGAGTTTAATATGTCTATTAAACAAGATTGTCGCCATGGGAAAGCGCCACTTTCAGGCATGGTATACATTATTAGAGCCATAAAATAAGACCGCGCTAACTATTATTTCATTAATTTTTATTGATACTAATACTAAACTATTAACATAGCCTAGCAAAATAGAGGCTAAGTAGAGTATATGATTCAACATAAAGCAGGCCTACTAAAGACTGAAAATCAAATTCCAATTTACTCATATTTTATTGTCATAAATCAAAGTATACATTCAATAAACAATATTGTAAGACAAAAAGACCGAAAAAAAAGCTTTCGCTTATGAAGTTTTGGCCTAGAAATAGTAATAACATCAAATAAAAACAATAATACACAATTTAATATCACTGATGTGCCATGAAAAGAGCTCTAAATAAATAAAGATGTTCTTATAATTAAAAGACATACCGTACATTGCTAATAGGTATTGTTTAGCTTTAAAAGTAAAATTTGTCCTTGACGAGAGTGTTTTAATATCTTCGGGTAGATTGTTCCAGAGTTTTGTACCATTATAAATTACACTAGACTGTGCAAGTGATGTGCGGAATTTTGGGATAATTAAATTAAACGGGTTGTTAAATCTTGTATTCTTCAAATGTGTTACTAATATAAAATATATATCAATGGCATGTGGTAATCTACAATAAAAAAAGATCTGATACAAACTTCAGTACATATAAATCATACAACTTAAATACATCTAAAATATTAAGTTGCTTAAACAAAGGTGTAGAACGTACTTTGAAATCAGAAAAAGTAACACAAGTAAAAAGTAACACAACACAACACAATTCGCTCACTGCAACACCGCAAAGCGCAAAGCTCGAGTTTTAAACGTACGTGTAACTTAGTCGTACTTAAAACTTTCATGTTAAATTGAGGGCCCATTGAAAGCGTTGCTTAGGTGTAATTTTGGTTGGCTGGATATACGACTCTATAGGCTTCGCGCGTTGGTGTATTCTGAACGCAGGTAGATATGATTCAGATAGCCATCTCGCTTTCCTAATTAAGATCAGGCAGTCGTAGGTGTTTTCCCACATATTTTGCTCTCCCATCCACTGGCTTGGACCTTTGCTATTTTTTGGCATATTTTATTCCATATCTTTTGTGTTCCGTATGTCGCGAACCACATAACTGTTTCCTGTTTTAGAGCGTGTAACTTGTTAGTTAATGTGTTATTTCGCATTTAATTCCGGACACCCATGTTTTGTTATAAGGATCTTTTTTCTTAATATAACAACAATGTATTGTAATATCATAAGAGCAAAATTTCAAATTTATTTACCAATTTAATAATTCCTTAAAAAAATATATCATTAAACTTATATATTTCTCCATAATTTGTTCATCAGTAAATGTTAGTTCTATAAAATCTTTAAAACATTTTACCTCATTGTAACTGCAGATGGTTTATTATCTAATGATTTAGATTGACGACAGTTATTATAAATGCAAGATATAGCATAGTTTTATTATGTTGCATTGTGTTTTCCAGAAACAATATGTAACAGGGCAGAATTTCAGTGCGATAATGATGAATGTATTCCAGTTTCATTGCAATGTGATGCTAACACGGATTGCTCGGATGGGTCTGATGAAAACGTTGAAATGTGCCGTAAGTAGCCTATTATACTGCAATTGCCTGGATAAAACACACTTTTAAAATCAGTAGTGTGTCTACGGTAGGCCGACGGTATATCATGGGGGTGGAGGGGTGCGCGAATCCGTCCAAACACAAACTTGCACCGCTCAGGCTCCTCTTCGTTATGGCAATTTGGTGACCATAAACAAAATAAGCTCAAGTAATTAAAATTTACCACATATCATGTATTTTTGCCAGCCAACCATTTAACCTCCTATGTTAGGCCTAGTATTAGTCCACCTCCAATGTCATTATTTCTAGATACGCCACGCTATGTTAACAAGATGTTTCAGATTAAGTCCTTCATATTTTTCTAAATCTCAATATCTATACGTAAATTTATATAGCACTTTTTGCAAAAGGACACAAAGCGCTTGGATATGTGGACTAGGAAATCTATAACTTTCTTCTCTCCTAAGGGTTCCTTCGTGTCTTGCTACTCAGTAACCCGGTGCAAATCTCAGGGGCCGTCTGTACCAGTACACTTGGTTATTCGTCTCGAATGATGGTTCTTTATAGTGACACGAGCCGAAGAGTACACTAGGCCTACGGTTTATATTTCTTATCAGAGAGGACTTGTTACAAACAGAAGCTTAGGCGAACGTGCCGTTCGAACCTGCGCCGATGTTATGGCTGTGGTTGCGGCGCCCCTGCTAACCGCACGGTTATTCGAATTAACTACTAAAATTTTGAATTCAACTTTAGCCCCGGTGTTTGCCTGTTAAAGGTGGATTTCTATCTTTTCATTCTATGTTGGTGTATATTCACAGACAGGGGCGAATAAGCGCAGCGGTAGCGGTTGGTTTTGAGGGTGGAGGTAGCCTATCCCTCGCTGTTCATTTTGCATAATGCTAAGCACATTAGGTTTCTACAAAATATGTCCACTATAAAGCCACAATAATTATCATTATTATTATCTATAGAGACAAGACCTTGTAGAGAAAAACAATTTGACTGCGGAATAGGCAGTATTTGCCTTCCATTAGCCTTGTATTGTAATGGGAACAATGACTGCGAAGATGGTCTCGATGAATCAACTTGTGGTAAGATTTGTTTTCTACGGTACTATTTCAAGAAATTGAATTTAAATAATAAATGTTATTATAATCAAATACTTTATCGTCATCAGCATCAGCATCATCATTACCATCCATATTTACAGTGGGCCTATACAAGCTATTCGTAGTTTAAAATGACGCGTACAATCGTGGCTGGTCTGTGTATAGGGAATCTGATTCAGTGCCTTATTTTGATATTTCCGCTATATTTCAATTTAGGCGATATCAATACCAACACTTTTCTAGATATAAAAATTATCATCAAAAATACAAATATTTGTAATAAATTTAATTTTTCATATTTTAGAAGAGTTTACTTAAGAAAACGACAGAACCTGGATAAGTAAGCCATTGTATTCCGTTTGGTAAGGCAGACATGATGATATGAAATGCATCCTCATTTAGCGTTAGCCCTATTAGTTGCAACCAGCCATTTAGTGACGTGCAAACAGATGCTAATTTATTTATTTTTTTTCATTTGAATTAAAACCAGATTACCCACAACTTTACTATTGTCCAGACGACATAGTTGTAGATACAGACTCAGGAAAAAATTACTCAGACGTCTGGTGGTCAAGTCCATGGCCGTCCAGTGTTACAACTATTAAAGCGAGGAAACAGTCGCACACGCCAATACACAGATTTGAAATGAAAGATGGAAAACCCACGGTTTATACTCTGCGATACTGGGTACAAGATGTATACCTAAAAGAAGCGGAATGCCTCTTCAATGTAACTGTCATTGGTAAGGTGTCTTTCCATTAAAATATTGCTCAGGTTGTTTTTGATATTTTTTTGATTTAGTAGTATCACACTTATGCTACTCAAAATATAACAATATGTGGCAAAGACAAACCAAACCAGTCACTCGTCGCAAAAATCGATTTTGAGTTATTAATACGTTGTTAGAGAGTAAAATAATAGCTATAAAATGGTAAAAAAAATCATTCAAATCGGACATCGGACAGTATTGTTTTAACATTGAAAATGGGGAAAATAACAGCATAGAATGATGTGTAGATATATAAAGGTTAGTTTAGTGCAATAAAATAGATTTTTTAAAATTTGACATTCCAGCATGTTTTGGCCATTTCCTCTGAAACACGATTTGCGACGAGTGACTGGTTTGGCTTGTCTTTGCCACATATAGGCCCTACTGTAATTATAATATACCACAAAATGAGTCTCATGGTTAGAAAATCAAAAATTGAGTTTATATTATATTTGGGTATATGACACTATAAGCTTAAATTTGGTCTTTGAATGGCTTCCCTAGGCTAAGTAGATCTAGAGATGTGAACTTTTAAAATTTAAGTGTATGATAACCACGCTTTGAGAAAATCTGCCTCAAAGATAAAATAACCTGTACAACTAATGGGATAGAACTACAGAATATCCTCAGAAAACACTGTTTTAGTAAGAAAATTCACTTATAAAATATAAGTACCAAGTTATTCCAAAACATTAAAATAAAAATAAAAATTTGACTTTGACCTATTTTTGTGAATATCTCAATATGATTTCACCAACAATGTGTCTCATTTCGTGGTTAGACCTCACATATGAGAGAATTGTACCGGTACTTGTATTACAATATAAAATGGATTTATTTGCGAGTAAATTGACTGCCCCATCCGGGATTCGAACTTGAGTCTCCTGATAGTCTTGGGTAACATAGTAATGGGGTTGTATTTAGGTAGGCCTACTAAAAAGTGACCTCTTGTAGGTTTGTCAAGACCCGTATTAAACATGACCTTATTTTTGTTGGCGCGCCAAAATACTATACGGGTATATTTTTCTAAAAAAAAATATACTTAAATTTTGTTAATACTCTAAAGAAATTCGCTTAAGAATGTCTATATTCAAATATTATTACACAAATCTTTAAGTTTAGCTTCCTTGCCTTCCTTTGACATATATTCATTATTCAATACAATACTTTTGTCATAACTGGTGCTTTGTTGGCTAATATAGGCCTACCTCTGAAGATAATTTTTTATTTTATTCATAGATAATGAAAGCCCTGTTGTAAACTGTCCGTCACAATCAAGTAACTTTGCTTCAAGAGAATCCAATTCTGCTTGGTCAGTGTCCACAGACAGAGGCTCCATATTTGCTCAGCTATATTGGCCGCCAGCAAATGCTACCGACAACAGCGGTATTGTAGTATCTGTTACTTCAAATTACAGTCCTGGTGACGTGTTTCGCCTCAGTAATGTTGCCTATCAGATCACATACACTGCAATCGACGTCGCTGGAAATGTGGGAAATTGCTCATTCTTCATAACCGTCGAAGGTTGGCAAATTGGGTAGTTTATATATGCATACACTATAATGTAACATAACAAATAAAATAACATAATAACATAACAAACATAACATAATAAAAGGTTATTCTAAATATATTTTTTTAGATAATGGATAATGAACAATTATAAAGCAAACTTTATTTCAATCTGAAAAACGTTAATCATAATATAAAATAAAAATAAATTCCTAAAACAAATAATTGTTGCTTATTGTATTTAGCATTATGTAAACAATTAAAATAGAAGTACTGTTAATATTTTTACATTGATTTTAGATTTGGAGAGTCCATCAGTTGAATGTCCATCTCATATAGAAACAACCTCGGCACTCGTATCTTGGGACATCATGATTAGTGACAATGTTGCAGTTGTTCATTACTTTTCAAATGACACCCGTGTTAAGACTAATTCTTTACTAAATGGCAAGTCTTTCACTCTGGCACAAAGTGGAACTTTTCCTGTTGGAACAACTTTCATTGAATACTTGGTGACAGACTTGGCTTGGAACAAAGGGAAATGTGTGATCAAAATCACCGTCGAAGGTAAATTTAATTAGTAGCGAATTTTACTGTAATCTGCAATTCGATTGTCAAGGAAATTCGAAGAATGTGTGTTTAATTGGTAAAATTAGTAGCTATATTCTTTAGTTACCACACTTTACTCTAAATCACATCAATCGAATAGACTATACCGTAAAAACCTCTGTCTATTATGTTTTTATACAAATATCAATACGTTGTTTTAATTTAATTTTTAGACGGTAATGAGTAGCTGGTGGACTACAAATGTATTTTAATTTAATTTTTAGACAAATTAGTACAACTGAGCATCTTTTTCACCACTCCCTTAACAACTTTTTTTTCTACCGTTATGTCTATCCAGGAAATTTAACAAAATTTTTGTAAATATCAAAGATTTATTTGCTGTCAGTAAGATTTATCTTACTGTCATCATATGCATTATGCGGCGTTATAGTGCGACTACAATGTTAACAATTTAATGTCTCTACAACCATGATATACAATGCACTTAGAAAGATATTAAGACGACCAAGAAGATGCAATACCAGTAAAATATTTGTTACTTATGACGTAACGTTATTTTGTGTATACTTTAAAAAGTCGGCGTACAGTTTTAAAACCAGAAACGAAATAAGTTGCAACAACCTTATCAATGTGTAATCTAAGATATTTTATGTGATTCTAAATAGTAGGTTTAAATTGCTGTTGTAGACACATGCTATGTTACTGTGCCTTCTACTTGAATCTACCTTCAAGTCGGTGTACAGTTTTAAAAACAGAATCAAAACCAGTTGCAACAGCTTTATCAAATAGGCATGTTGTCATCACACACCTGATGAAGCTGGCATTGATAAATAAATAACATCAAAGTTAGTCTCAGAGTGCTGCCTTTTAATTTTCAAATAGGCATGTGTAATTTTCAAATAGGCATGTGTAATTCCAGATATGTGTCATGTGATGCTAAATAAGTTTAAATTGCTGTTGTAGACATAGGCTCTGTTACTAATTATTTTTTTTATATTGATTTGTAATGTATGTATATACTTAATTGTATTGTACGGTCCTAGGTTTTATTTGAAATTTGTGAAAATTGTGATTGTATTGTCTATTAAATTGATTCGAAATAAAATTGAAACTTAACTAACATTTTGGTGCAAATATCATGTGCAGAACATAAACAACTAGAATGGTTTACATTTTGTGACCCGGACTTTTGGTAACTCTGCTGGCTGCTGATATTTCATAACCCAAACATTTCAAGACCCGAAGTGTCGTAGCTACGAAATAAGCAGGCAACAAAATGTCTGCGATCTGACAGAAATGAATATATAGATTTCTCTCAAATACGTGTATTTCATATATCAGCAATACATGAAACAGAATAAAATTAAATTATGATAGGGAGCATTTGGATGCAAACAGAAAAGAGCATATTCTCCTTAACGATTGATTATTATCTACGCCTAATAAAGAATTCAGGTTCTTCTATCTTATTTTAGACACTAAAACACCGTCAATAACTTGTCCTAGAACTTTCTCTAATTACTACGACTATATATACGGGTACCATCGCATTGTTACTGATTATGGTCTGTCCTACGCAACAGTCAAATGGTCTCCACCAGAAGTTGAAGACAATAGTGAAGGGCCTGTCACGTGGGAAAGTTCCCCTTATACATCAGGTGATAAGTTTCGAGTATCTTCGAGTATTCCCGCCATACACTGTGAAATTTACTGCCTCCGATTCGTTTGGCAATAGTAGTTCCTGTTACGTATATTTCACGATAATAGGTAAACACATTCATTTTCTTTAAGTTATAGACGTCCAATTTTTCTTGTCGATGTTACTTGCTTATTATTTGTTAATCTATCGAAATGTTGCTTTTCTGCACATTTCAGACGTCGAACCGCCGAATATCACATGCCCCGACAAACATCACAAACTACTACGATACATACTTTAACATTAATAGAGCTACACTTGATGCGACGAGTACAGTCACGTAGGATGATCCTACTGTCTCTGACAACAGCGGACGTCCGGTGAATGTCACGGCAACTCACCAATCCGGAGAAACATTTGCGCCAATACTAATTTGCTAATATATTGCCTGACCAACTAGAACCACTTACAGAAGGGCACTTGGTTGGGAAAAAATGGATTAATCTAAGATGAAAAACCAAATGGTAAAGAAGCGATAAAAAAAAACTGCATTTGCAAAAAGAAAATCTACCTTAATTCTACTCTACTACTCAATTGTTCAAAGTACTAACCAAGTATCTTGGTTTTAAAGCTGACAAGAATTATACATATGCTAATGTAGTAGCTAATTATTAAAATACATTCAATGAATTGTTTCAATTATATCTGAGGTAACTTTTGAGTCTAAAGATATACAATTGTCTTTCAGATAGTGGTTGAGACTACGCCATAATACATACATTGTATGCTAGACACTATCGAAGTTCTCCGAGTTATATCTACAGTAGTGATTATACACTTTTTATGATTGGGAAAACTATGAAAAATATATTTCATGGACGTCTGTGACATTGCATTTATCGTATAGCTCTGTTAGAGACTCAAATCTAGGCCCAACTACTAAAGATTCTCTATCACCTCATTCTCATGCTAGGCTTAATCAAACATTATCACAAGGATTTGCATGAGGATCAACGTAACGACCCATTTAATGATGATTTCTTCTGTTTGGACCGATTTTTTTTCTCTCAAGATGACACCAACTTTAATAATACTAGAAGTATGGTAACATTTTTTTTTTCAATTGCACTGTACTTGATGTTTTAGATCTAAATTACGTTATCATTGGCATCACGGAATCACGACTTACACATTTCTCCTATATCTATGTATAGACTTCCATGTGTATCTTATCACTAATTCCCGGTCTCACAAATACGGAAGTGGGGTTGCTCTGTGTATGTCATTAAGATTTCGATACCAAATATCAGTGTTATGGAACCTGATGTTGAATTCTTATTTGTTGAAATATGCGAAATAGGAACCAAAGGGGTCATTTACAGACCACCAAATAAATGGAAATGTTGGCAAATTTATTGATAATCTCCATATTCTTCTTCGAACCCAAGGCTGAAGGGTAAGTATTCAATAATAATGCTGATTCTATCATTGACTTTCTAATGATTAAGCACAATCATAAAGTAAACGGCTTCATTAATTTGTACATCTTTCTCAGTTTTGCCCGTGATAACTAAGCCCACCCGTATGGAAAATTCCCAGGCTACTCTCTTTGACAATATTCTTTCCAACGTCCAGTTTCTCTGAATCAGGAATAATAGCAACTGATGTTTCTGACCATTTTCCAGTCTCATTCTTTCCCGTCCAACAAGATGCACCTGTTAAACAACGGAAATGTGTATACTATGATAGAAATTACTAATATTCAGAGAAAAGTTGGCTGTGGAAATTGGAATAATATTTTGGCTCAGACCATATAACAGGTCATATGGACAGCACATTTCAACTTCAATTAGGCCCCTATTATGATGATTGTACGTCTAGATATACTGCCCATAAGTATCTCCTTAATTTTTTTAATAAAAAGTGTCGCTTTTACTGTAAATGGAAAAAGCTGCTACCAACTAATCAATGTCTGTATATGTTAAGTTCAAGACCAAGTTATTGACTTCGTTGCGGTAAAAAAATAGATTATTAGGCCTATATATTTAAAAGAAAGTCCAAGCTACAGTTAATAACTTCAATGTAACATGGAAAAAATTAGGAATATTTTAAATACTGACAGAAAGCTAATGAGATAAAAATTAATGGCAGCCATTCTAGAGAATTCTGCCGCACTTTCAACAAGTATTTTGGATATGTTGGGTCTGATGGGAAGATCAGACCCAACATATCCAAAATACTTCTTCCCATGGCGTGTCGATTGGCTGAGCGGTTAAGACAAGGGGAAAAGTGACTTACAGCCATAATATCGGCGCTGGTTCGAACGGCACGCTCGCCTATGGTGCCGGTGGTGGAACAAGTCTTCTCAGATAAGGACTCTAAACCGTAGGCCCAGTGTACAAAATTGGCTCGTGTGCACTTTAAAGAACCCAGCACATCATTCGAGAAGAGTGGGGGTTACCCCGGTGTACTGGTCTCTCTCTAGTCCCCCGTCCGGCCACAGAAAGAACGCTCACGACGCGGCCCATGTCAAGTACCCATCCAACCTGCGAATCCTTCTACCACACAACGTAAGCTAGATCATACACGCTAGCTACGTAGTGACTCGATAAGAAGAAGAAGAATCTTCCCATGGTGTGATCTCTACTTCCCATAAATTTTCGAGCGAATTCTTGGGTATTCCTAATCCTAGCTCGATGCTTTTACTCCCTGTTACTACTACATCATCATCATCATCGTCGTCGTCGTCGTCATCGTCATCAACATCATCATTATCAATATTATTCATCTTTTTGTTTAAGCTGTGTTTACGGTGCTACGCAGCAATCTCAATTTAAATATTACTTATAATTTCCTAGATGCGACCTACAAGCTTTCCTAGCTTAACTACAGCGCCATTATGTGGGAACGATTCAGTCAGCTGTATGAAAAAGGTGTCTGTGGGTTAGATATTCGCCTATATATTATAGGTATGGTATCTAATGGACATGATACTCGCCTTGACAGCGAGATATTGCAGATTCGCCACTTCTTTTCATACAACTGAAATATAGGAAATTTATACGAATTTTTCATATATAAAAAAATGAAAAACCAACTTAAGCTCGCTTATTCACATACATACATACATACATACACACATACACACATACATACCTACATACATACATACATACATACATACATACAGATTGTAAAAGTACGTTGGCCTTTTATGGGCAGCTTAGCTCAGTCGGCTAATCTGGTGGTAGCCACTGTGTGTGCGCTAAACCTTGGAGATCTCTAGATCCCCGGTTCAATTCCCATCGCTGCCTCTCCTTGAGCTTCAGCTAGAGGGCTGAAATACAAGTTACTTAGCGCACCGTCTTTCGGATGAGACGTTTAAGCCGTTGGTCCCGTGTGCATTTATGGCCCATGTGCACGTTAAACAACACAGTACACTCTTCGGAAAAGAGTAGGGGATTGTCTCCCGGGGAAATAAGTCTTCTTCTAAACTTTCGTGGGCTATCCTTGGTGTTTACACCGAATAAATCCAATCCAATCCAACCTTATGTGCAGCAGGTGTGACTCTCTGTACAATAACAATTTTCAATCTTTAAAAAAAGTGTGTAAAATAAGAACATAAGAATATTTTGAAATTGAAAAAAAAAATATGAACACTGAGCCTGGGCAAAATGTCTTATTTCTGGTTCCTGTGTTTTATCCTTAACAACGCTTCAGGCCTAGAAAGCGCCCTCGGTTATCACTAGTAACCTTCACCAGCGGAAATGTCCCTCGTTCTTTAAAAAGTTGGAGTAATCCATTTTATTGGCTTTAGCGACTCGGTTGTTTCAACATGTTATATGAAGTCTTCAGATTACTGCTCCTTTGCTGCCTGATTGTTGGAGGTTTAGGTGAGTCTTATTGGCACCAAAAAGCAGTATGAGAGTGGCTGGTCTAAGTAGCAAATACGATTAAAACAGGGGGCAGGGAGGGGAGGGGCACGGCCCACGTCGGGGACCTCGGGTCTGCCCCCCGCCACCAGTCTAGTAGCACCAACCTGATAATATCTAACTATAATCGATAATTCAAAAATTCTAGCATGAAGTATGTTTTTTATTTGTTTTCAGTTGGGCTTTAAAATTAGTAATTTTCATCAAGCACCTCTCAGGTCAAAATAAAATGTCAAGAGCCAGGAATTCGAATTAGACGGGGCAAGGGCTGGCCATGAAGGGAATATTGCAGACTGAGGTACAGACCTCAGGCCCACAATATTTTTGGGAGGCTGAGGTGCAAGATTTATGTCTGTCCAAGGATATATTAAATTATTTAATAGGCCTAACTCCTGGGTCTGTGACACCTCAAAAACAATTGAATGCTTCTTTTTTGATTTTCGAAAACTCTCCACTCGATGAATCCGTCTCTATATAAAATTTTTTCAAAACATTCTAGACGTTTTTCGGTTCTGAAGCCATCAACCAACATAATATTATTTATTCCACCTTTGTGTAGCTTAATGTATTTCCTTTGTGTCGATTGTATCGGCGATATCTCTTACCGGTACCCACCGATGCATGGGCTAAAGCGGAAGGAAGTCTTGAAGGCTGTCGATGTTGGATCATGGAGGACCAATTCCTCCATGGTTGGATAGCACCCATTCTATATAGGAACTATCCTTAAACATTTAAAACAAATCACGCTGTTTCATACTTGATTTGATAATCTGAAACCCGCCATTATCCCGGATAGGCCTACCCGTCGAGTTTAATGAAGATGGTTAGCTGCTCCTAATGATGCCACTCGGCCGAAAACTTAATAACGCCTAGTGAGTTGAAAGAATTACAGCCTGAATTTTGGTGTTTACGAAAAGTAGGCTACTATACTTTTGTTTTTTGTTTGTTGTTGATTATTATTATTCCATGAATGATACAAACAATATAGACAGATTATGGAAATGTAAACAACCACCATCATACAACCACTCCCATTATTTAAATACGTCCCTACCGTACCATACATATTAATTGCATACTGTATCAAGTTTATCATTATAAAAACATCACATAGAAAGTACCGTCAACACCATAACAAAGACGACAGGACCTAGCTTATAACTAAAACCTCCTGCAAAAGTTACCATTAAACAATCAAATATAACTTACGATACAAGCCAAAACAGCATCACCAAATAATGATACCCTGTTTCGTAAATACTATCTGTTACTGTATTGATACGGTACTTTGCAACTAGCCGTCCTTTCTGGCCGACCACTTATATTGGTGCGTCTATTGATTTCACGCACACAAAAGCTCACAACCACTTAATTTACATAAAGGTGTAAGTTGAGCATTTGACTAATTGGTATAGTTCCTGCCTCTTGCACGCCAGGGCCCGGGTTCGTGTCGAGTATTGAATTCGGGTCTTTCATAATAACGAAAAACGCTCAGCTCCACAAATAACCCTCTCAGGAGAGTTAGGCAAGGACCATGTTTGTATCCGTTTGATGTTTATTTAAGGCATTAGTTTATAAGTTAGCACCGGACCTGCTTACAGGCATTGCCATTTGGTTTCGGTATTGTACCATAGGTGGTGGAATGAAAAAAGTTTATTATAAGATTTCATATTTCAAATAAAATCATTATTTAGTTTGGGACCTACTGAGATACAATGTTCTATTGTTTTTCTCTTTTTATTATATTCCTAGAGCCGTGTATCGAACCCGGCGTGCAAGAGGTAGGGACTATACCTATTAGCGAAATGCTCAGCTCATGTGTAAGGAAATCCCGTGTGTTTCCTAACTTTCTGAGCTCTTTCGAACTCCGAGCTCTCTCCAATGTTTTATCTATGTTTATATTCTATTATGTTGCGATGCTTAATTTATAGAGCACTATCTTTAATCAAACAGTTTTTTTAATTTTTAAATTTGGTCCAAGGTTTTTGTGGTACTTATGAGTATTATTGTACACTTGACCGGTGCATTGGAGCTACATGGGTGTGTGATGGAAGTAAAGACTGTGAATATGGAGATGACGAATCAGCAGTCAATTGTCGTGATAGTACGAAAACATGAGTTATTATTTATTTATTCATTCATTCATTTATTCATTCATTCATTCATTCATTCATTTATCCATCCATCCATTCATTCATTCATTCATTCATTCATTCACCCTCTCAGCAAATTGTTATTATGATCCAGGTGATAATGATCAATCCAGTCATTTTATATGAACCTACCAGAATCAAATAACGTGCTCAGTTTATGCTTAATCACCCTATTGTGATCTAGTGTGGCATCTTGATTCATCATGATTAACCTTGATGACATGATAAATTAATTCATGAATCTAATTAACCAATCAGCTTTCGGTTTATTGAACGGTTTGATATTTGAGACAACCTCACTGGTTGTGCTTCTGGTAGTTTTCATGCAACACTGCACATCATTAGCATAAATAGATCACGACGGTTTTTTTTAATATGTTAAAGTTATCATGATGTATAGATCATGATAACGTTATCACAAAAACTTATGTTAACGTGACTACTTACATGACCATTCACTACCTCAAACTAAAAGTAGATTAAAAATAATGAAGGCCTACTCAATTCGTCCTAATTGTTCTCTATCCCGAATGGGCTCTTTTTACATATTCATATATGTTGTCATTTTAAAATTAAATCCAGATGTATATCCACGATTTGATTTATGTCCAGACGACATAAATGATATTACGGACCCCGGAACAAATTACCAAACAGCCAGGTGGAGGGAGCCGAATGCAAGAGATAATAGAGGTATTAAATACAGAGGAAAATCACATTCGCCAGGATGGAAGTTTTATCTCAGGAATGGAAACAGCACGGCTCACACAGTACGATACTGGGCCACTGACTATGCGGGTAACACTGCTTATTGTATCTTCACAATAACTGTCATGGGTAGGTACGTTTTTAGTTATCTTTACAAATACGGCCTGGAAATAAATTATACCTATTTGTTATACAGCATTAACTTACACATTGTGACATGCCCAGAAAATAGTCTGTAAAACGTTTTACAGTTTATCTCTTCATATATTATGTTAGTATTCATATTTCATATAGAGCACCGTGTTTACATATAACAATATGTTATGTCTATAATGTTAACGTATACGGTACGTTTCTTTATTAAATGTTAATAATTTTATTGTACATGTATATAATTTTCATTTATTAAACACTATTAACATTTAATTCAATTTACAAAATGAAAATGTTGAATAAAAAAATACGGTAGTCTAAACAAATATCAAAATTTTCATATACATATAAAATGGCAATTTATATAAACAGAGTTAAAAACAATATATAATTCTAAATTATTTTATCTTGTATTGTAAATTATTTTATCTTGTATCAAAGAGAAAAACAAATAAAAAATTGAATTCACAATAACTTTGTGCTTTAGCTTAGATACTTCATAAAGCAACAACGGAACAAAAAGAGTTATTAATATTATTATTCCATGAAATACAACTGAAATGACACCTATATATATTAAAAACCGGGAACGGTTAAATAGGTACACATTTTTGAATATTTAGAAATTTGTAGGGGAGGGGGATGGTAGCAAAGGGATGGTTATACCAATGGTTATTTTCTATTAACGTTATACACAGAGAGGAGCACAACAACTGAAACCTTTGGTATAAAAACGAAATTAAATGGTATAGTATCGAAGGCTATAGGCCCAGCTAGTTAGTTTTCTAAGTCTTTTCAAAATCATGCAAAGTCCAGAATAATCACTATGCAACTATTTTAATTGTTTTTGTATAGGCCCTTAACTTTTCTTCCCAACAACAAATGTTGCTTCAATCTGTTCAATCAAAATTATGGTAACGTAAAATTGACGAAAAATTGTTTTAGCAGAGCTGGATAAATAATGTAGGCTCACTGATATTATGTAATATCTATTATGCTTACTTTATTCTAAAAATGAGTTTATATGATAAATATTTGTTTTATGCAGACAATTAAAATTACCATATATCTTAACAAATTTATTATTATACAATCGATTTAGTAACTTAGGCCTAATCTACCAATTTTAAATTTCACTGTAGATGAAGAGCCTCCGAAAATAGAGTGTACACACGAAACATATAACTTCTATAAGATGGAATTCGGTTTTACGATGATTTCCACTGACGAAGGAAGCCCTAATGCCACAATTACATGGACGGCAAATGCTACTGATAATAGCGAAATGCCGCATATCACAAGTTTTCCCTACAAATCTGGTGATGTGTTCCTGATGCGACTATTTCCACCATATGAAACTACAATAAGAGCATCAGACCCATCCGGTAATACAGATGAATGCATTCTACGGTTTTCTGTAGTTGGTATGTTTTAAACTAGTATCAATTGGTTTTTCTTGCGACAATGGAAAGGCTATTGCTTTATTTCGATTTTTTTTTCTGCTATCACGTTTCCCTATGTTTTTGCATGCACAAGGTTTTCCTGGCTTTCACTGATGTTCCGTGCTTGAATCGTCATCAAAAATTCAAAGTAATCGCATAAAACACATGTGTGTTTGTAAACATACATCGACGTCATTCTACAATTTCTAAATAATATAATGGCATATAAACAAGATAGTAGGCCTATAATACATATTCTAAGTATCGAAATGCACGCCATGGTTATTATTATCGTCATTCGATACTTGGAGTATTATAGGTCTACTATCTTATCTGAGATTAATCATTGGCCCTTTCGGTATATAAGCGTTTCTGTTAAAAAAAAATGTGCGTTTCAAACTAGATACAGCTATACTTTAACAGCCAAATTTCCACTAAATACATAATCAATTTTCGCTTTACAGCTATACAAACTCACGAAAGATAGACTGAAAATCTGTCCCTAGCACAACCATTCTAAAATCAACACACACTGTCTTTCTTCAACTAACTCTCTGGAATGATGAAGAACATTGTAATAAACGTGGCAATAAAGAAAATAATAATATTCGTTTTTTCATAATGATTTATATAAAATTATTTAGCACTCAACACCTCACCTAACATATAAATATGTAAATAAATGAACCAGTTCAAGTAGCCTAATCTTTCTCTTTTTGTGACCTGAAAATACTGTGATTCCGTTTATAAATGACAGATGATGATGATGATAAATGATGATAATAATAAATCAAACGTTTATTAAGCACCAATATCAATAAAGCTGGGAAAAAGAAAAATCGCCTTGTGCACGTCAGACCACTGGCTGATTGATTTATTTGATATGATTTCTCAAAAAGCAAATACTATGGGACGACATGACACGAACATTAAATACCAACTACATGATCGAGCCTTAAATTAGCAAATGGTGAACTACTGATAAGATAAGATAAAGAATTCCAAAGAGAAGCACTCAATAAATAATACAAATAAATAATACAAGATAAAAAAACTAAACGCATGAAATATAATTTCTCTTCTTCGCTTTAAAGCTATACAAGTTCACGAAAGAGATACTGAAAATCTGCCCCAAGCACAACCAGTTCTCAAATCAACATATACTGTCTTTCTTTAACCGTGTGGCATGTTACTAATAACTATCAAACTATCCACACCGTACGCAACATCAGCGCAATAATATTGCATGCATTTGTCACATTGCGCCTTTACTTTCTTCTTTGAGCTCCATAACTAGATTGCAGTGCCTTCAAACTCTAATGGACGCTCGTACTGTCACAGTGACAATGTAATTTAGGCCTAATACTCACAAAACAAAATATTCGCATGTCTGTCCCACAGATACTCACGTTTACGTACGATTATGTTTGTATTGTTGGGCCTTAGCAAAAATATCCAAGATGCGAGGTTCCAACCAGCAAAAAATGCCAACTTACAGTACTACTAGTTAGCCGCGATGATAGTGCAGGAGGCAAGAAAAGAAATTAATATTTCATGCGTTTAATTTTTGTATCTTGTATTATTTATTGAGTGCTTCTCTTTGCAATTCTTTACCTTATCTTATCTGTAGTTCACCCTTTGCTATTTTAAGGCTCGATCATGTAGTTGGTATTTAATATTCGTATCATGTCGTCCCATACAGTATTTGCTTTTTAATTGAGAAACCATATAAAATAAACCAATCAGCCAGTTATCTTACGAGCACAAGACAACTTATCTTTTAAACAGCTATATTGATATTGGTGCTTTATAAACGTTTGATTTGTTATTATCATCATTTATCATCATCGTCATCTGTCATTTATAAACGGAATCACAGTATTTTCAGGTCACAAAAAGATAAAGATTAACCTACTTGAACTGGTTTATATGTTTACATATTTAGATGTTAGATGAGGTTGAGTGCTAAATAATTTTATATAAATCGCGTTATAAAAAAAAACAAATCTTATTATTTTCTTTATTGCCAAGTTTATTACAATGTCCTTCATCATTCCATAAATATTTTTCTTTCATTATAGATACCGAAAGTCCGGTTGTAAATTGCCCAACACGCTTTAACACCAATTTTGCTGTAAGAACATCTACTTCCTCTTGGACAGTGTTTCCAGCTAGAGCCTCCACACCTGTTCAATTATATTGGTCACCAGCAAGCGCCACCGATAACAGTGGCACTGTAGTATCTCTTTCCTCAAATTACAACCCTGGTGACGTATTTCCGGTCAGTAATGTTGCCTATCAGATCACATACACTGCAATTGATGAAGCTGGAAATGTGGGGAATTGCTCAATCTTTTTAACAGTTGAAGGTTTTGACATTAATTATTTGAAATAAACTTTACACGACTTAGAAATTGTATCAATCTTGATGTTCGATACAATATTGAAAATGATGATTAACCTATTGAAAAAACAATATACTACAGCATAATTAAGATTTATAGGTGATAGTGAAGATAGGCATTAGGATTTTTTTTTTATTTAGTTAATCATAATCATCATCATCATCGTCATCATCATCATCATCATGAACATCATCATTGCTATTGTAATCGCTATCATTTTATCATTATCCATTACAATTGCCATTACCTTTGTTATTATTTTTAAGAAATTATATATATAGGCCTATAGGCAGCAATATAAAAATATGTTTTATGGTGTGAAACCAGAGTGCACTGTTGACACGTATTTCTCAATTTGATCATATTGTGTTTTTAGATTGGGAAAGCCCCTTGGTCGAATGTCCATCACACATAGAGTCAAGAAACGAATTTCAGATATGGAACATCGTGGTCAGTGATAATCTTGCAGTCGGTCATATCATAGCAAACGACTCTCGAGTTGTGCCAGCTAATTATACACTAAATCACAATGCTACCACTCTAGAACAGAATGGAACTTTCCCTGTTGGTACAACTTCCATTGAATACAAAGTAACCGACATTGCTGGGAACATAGGAAGATGTGTGCTTACAATCACAATTATAGGTGAGATAATTATTTTTGAAATTATCAGCGATTTCGTTGGATGAGACAGATTAGAATGCTAATAATAATAACAATATGTTTTTGTATACAAAACTGGTTAATCTTAAAAACCATATTCTTACACACGGTGTACCGGAAATTTACGGTAATTTTTAAAATATTATTGATTCTCGCCATACAATCTTTGACTGTAGTTTAAATATTACGCAACCGTTCGGGTACCATGTCCCCAGCCCATACTGAGGTGAGAATTGGAATTCTTTACCTTATCTTATCAGTAGTTCACCCTTTGCTATTTTAAGACTCGATCATGTAGTTGGTATTTAATGTTTGTATCTTGTCATCCCATACAGTATTTGCTTTCTGAAAAACCATATAAAATAAATCAATCAGCCAATTGTCTGACGTGCACAAGCCGACTTTTCTTTTTCCCAGCTTTATTGATATTGGTGCTTTATAAACGTTTGATTTATTATTATCATCATTTATCATCATCATCATCTGTCATTTATAAACGGAATCACAGTATATCAGGTCACAAAAAGAGAAAGATTATGCTACTTGAACTGGTTCATTGTGTTTACATATTTAGATGTTAGATGAGGTGTTGAGTGCTAAATAATTTTACATAAATCAATTTAAAAACAAAACAAATCTTATTATTTTCATTTTTACCACGTTTATTACAATGTTCTTCATCATTCCATAAATATTTATCTTTAATTATAGATACTGAAAGTCCGGTTGTAAATTGCCCATCACGCTTTAACACCAATTTTGCTGTAAGAACATCTACCTCTTCTTGGACAGTGTTTCCAGCCTCTACAACTGTTCAATTATACTGGTCACCAGCAAGCGCCACCGATAACAGTGGCACTGTAGTATCTCTTTCCTCAAATTACAACCCTGGTGACGTATTTCCGGTCAGTAATGTGGCCTATCAGATCACATACACTGCAATTGATGAAGCTGGAAATGTGGGGAATTGCTCAATCTTTTTAACAGTTGAAGGTTTTGACATTAATTATTTGAAATAAACTTTACACGACTTAGAAATTGTATCAATCTTGATGTTTGATACAATATTGAAAATGATGATTAGCCTATTGAAAAAACAATATACTACAGCATAATTATGATTTATAGGTGATATTGAAGATAGGCATTAGGATTTTTTTTAAATTTAGTTAATCATAATCATCATCATCATCATCATCGTCATCATCATCATCATCATCATCATGAACATCGTCATTGCTATTGTAATCGCTATCATTTTATCATTATCCATTACAATTGCCATTACCTTTGTTATTATTTTTGAGAAATTATATATATAGGCCTATAGGCAGCAATATGAAAATATGTTTTATGGTGTGAAACCAGAGTGCACTGTTGACACGTATTTCTCAATTTGATCATATTGTGTTGTTAGATTGGGAAAGCCCCTTGGTCGAATGTCCATCACACATAGAGTCAAGAAACGAATTTCAGATATGGAACATCGTGGTCAGTGATAATCTTGCAGTCGGTCATATCATAGCAAACGACTCTCGAGTTGTACCAGCTAATTATACACTAAATCACAATGCTACCACTCTAGAACAGAATGGAACTTTCCCTGTTGGTACAACTTCCATTGAATACAAAGTAACAGACGTTGCTGGGAACATAGGAAGATGTGTGCTTACAATCACAATTATAGGTGAGATATTATTTTTGAAATTATCAGCGATTTCGTTGGATGAGACAGATTAGAATGCTAATAATAATAATATGGTTTTTGTGTTTTTTTTTTTGGTATGCAAAACAACTGGATAATCTCAAAAACCATATTCTTACACACGGTGTTCTGGAAATTTAATTTTTAAAATATTATTGATTCTCGCCATACAATATTTGACTGTAGTTAAAATATCGCACAACCTTTCAAGTACCATGTCCCCAGTCCACCACACTGAGGTGAGAAAATTATGAGAATGAGGACCTCCAGGTGCCCGGATTTGCATTCTCATATATTAAAAATTCACATCAACAATACAACATAATATTATTTTTCTTAATACAATTTAGGGTGGAATAGGGGAGGGGTAGCGATCGCACCATTGCAGCGCCTGCATCCGCCCCAGAAACCTAAGTGGAGATACCACGACCTAAAGGTTTAGTGCCTGAACCGCAGCCACTGAGCAACCGCTCCCACTCTGTATCGTCATTTAGATGAGACACTGTGACCTTGTGTGTACTCTGTATCAACACGCACGTTCACGAAATAAGCTACACATCATTAACTTAAATCGAAGTTTAGCAGATTGTTTTCTGTGTTCTAATTCCTTCTTGTTATGTGTATGAAATATTGTAAGTTTTTTTTTTTTTAGTGAATTTGATATTGCCGATTTTATGCAAGTAAAGGCCAACTCAGACAGCGTCGGCCGACGCAGCCCGACCCGATTTATCGTCGGGGACAGTCTTAAGCCGTCTTGAGAAATATTAAACACGTTTAATATTCTAGGACGCGACTGGCCCCGACGGCGATTTTTTTTTTCCGTACGATACATTTGCATGAAACTTCACTCGGGCCATCTCGGATTGACTCGACTGACTAAGTTCGATACGAGGAACAAGAGCAGACACTTCGCAATGTCGTGACGCTCGAGTTTTACTTCGATAATAAAGTAGATTGTTTCCAAAGAGGTTTACTAAAACGATTTTTAAATATTCATTGGCCATAACGAACATTGAACTCTATAAAAAAGAACCGATCTCCCAACTTAATAATAGGAATATAATCAGTTGTATTAATAATACGATGCTGGTTCGAATGGCAGCTAAAACTGCCGTTTCTATTATTTCCTGAATGTTTGACATGTTACATCCTGTCTCTTATACACATCTAGATGTGTATAAGAGACAGATAATAATAATAATAATAATCATTTTAGCATTAATTACCTTGGCCTAAGCCTTGTAATCGAGAACCTACAGATACTATATTTACTGGGCCTGTAATTATTAACGCGCCCAAGGGGAATATCTTTTGTGTTATTTCCCCTTAACGTCGTTTTTTTTTTAATTGTTTTCTAATTTCTCCATTGTCTAATGTTCCCCTTATAAGGTAGGTTTTAGTAACATAATAAATAATAATAATAATAATAATAATAATAATAATAATAATAATAATATTAATAACAATAAATAATAATAATAATAATATTAATAATAATAATAATAAATAATAATCATTTCGGCATTGCATGTAATTAACTTGGTCTAGCCTTGTAATCAAGAACCTGCAGATTACTATGCCTAATATTAATAACTAGGCTTAGGCCTCATTTATACATTCATTGGTGCTCTGCCATTTTGGCAGGTTTTATGGCATCCAGTATTTTAGAGCTGCCTATTAGCTCTTCTCTTAATTTGAAAATAACTGTTTCATTTGATAAAGAAACGCACTTTTCCTTACTCTTTGTTGCTTTCAACAGAAAGCGTATATTCTTAGTAGTTAGTAGGCCTAGGTAATCATGCAAAACCCAGACCTAAAAAATAAAAATTGTCACAGTATGTAACTCAAGTTAAAATAACACTTTTCATTACTCGTGCAGCTCAATCAAATATTATATGTCATTTTAAACGACCCATTAGTATTAGCAGGGAGTTGTTGGTATTAGCACGGTAACATCAATGTATTTTTTTTTTAATCAGACAGGGACGTTCTCTTTGTTTTGTAGTCTGTAGACGTTAATCTGTTGATGACCTTTTGACCTGAATTCTGCAATATGAGATTTTCGGGTCGATTCAGTCGAGACGGCCCGACGCACGCCATCGCGTCTGCGTTGAACTCACACAGACCCGACGCGACAACAAATCGCGTCGGGCTGCGTCGTACGACGCTGTCTGAGTTGGCCTTAAGTGATTATTCTATGGAGGAATTCCTCCACGTCACTCAACCCAAAAGTTTTACAAAATTCTAAGAGACGTTCATTTGCAATCAAGTTGTACTAACAACTGCCTTTGATGCTTTTTACAGCGACCTATTGTTAATGATGAGTGGACAGTTCATAGATAGTTTAATTCTCGTGATATTTCGAAGATGTTTCAAACTACTTCAAATCCAACAAGTTTCATTGAAACTTACACTATACCTACTCTCCCAGGGGCGGATCCAGAAATGTCCAAAAGGGGGGGGGGGGCGGGGGGCCGGAAGGGGGACCGAAAGTTGGGCCGATTGAGACAACAGTGTCGTAGGGTGTCCGGGGCATGCCCCCGCGATTTTTTTGTGTTCTAGACGCCCAAACATAACATTTGAGGCATTCTGGGCTATCATTTTTTTCTTTTTCTCTCTTTTTTTCATTTTTTTTTTTACCTCCCAAAAGGGGGGGGGGAGGGCGCCGCGCCGGGCCGCCCCCCCCCCCTAAATCCTCTCCTGCCTCCTGTTTAGAAAACCTCAACAATTAAATAATTATCCTATGACATCACACTGAAATCCATACATCTATAGCAGTCCGCCTACCAATCTAAAAATCAGTCGGTGAAGCTCTCTTGAAATTAGTTCAATTGATTCAACAACATCCCGGCTATGAGGCGCCATCTGTTAACTTATTATTTAGCAAAAGTAACATGGCTTTTTCCAAAAACCGAAAGGTCCACTGATTAATCTCAGATAAGAAAGTATAATACATACTCCAAGTACTGTCTCTTAT